GTGATTTTGTTGTACCTGTAGGTCTCTTTATGAAAGTTCAGAAATGGCTGCAGTCGGCGTTAGTTTTTTGGGCGTATGAGGATTCGTAGAATCAAATAGCGTAGCTAAGTTTGAAACGTCCCTTTTGTGTCTTTTTGTGCGACTAAACGTTTTGCTTTTTGTAACGTAGTCTCGGGCATTAAAAAAACAAACAAAAACCTTGATGTCCTTTAACTTTCCAGCAACCGACTGTAACTAAGCGAGGACCACACAATATAAATCCTAAGATAAGTAAGCAAAATGTGAATGAGTTAAAACAATATTTTCGTAATGATATAGCTTTTATACTTTTAAAATTTCCCTCGTAAAAATAGAATAAAAATGACCCCACTAAACAAAAAAAGGAACGCCGTTACTCTTTCCGTTCCAGTAAAAAGGTAACGAGTTCCCGTTCCAGTTCCACCGATGTAAAATGGAACGGCGGCGTTCCTTCGTTCCTCCTTAAAGGAACGCGTTCCAGGAACGCCGTTCCTTGGAACGCCGTTCCGTACAACACTGAGAACGAGAGACGCGGTGGCCATCGTTCTCCCAAAACAATAGGGGACCACACCACTTTTACATGTTATCTCTCTCTCTCTTTCAGCACTCCTCAGGTGGCCTAACCCCCCCTTTCCCTTTTATGTCGGCAGTTGACTGTAGAGTGAGGAGTGGACTCGGCCGCCATACCCAGACAAGTAAACCAAAAGAAGTATCATCCGTATACCCTCGAAGACGATGCTCTTAGCCTCCCGCCGGGCACTTTTCAGCCGTGCCAAGAGCGCGCTAGAATACAGTAGCGCACATCAAAGACAAAGAGAATTCGACACCCTCGCGCGAGGCTACATGGTCTGTTAGGCGAGTTGGGAACCCGCGAATCGAGGGGGTGCGACCCGCGTTTGATGTCTGTGCAGGTGGCGGGAGACGTCGAAGAAGTTGGAGAGAGTGAAACGGTGTAAACGACAAAAACAAATAAACACGAATAGTTTTCTGCACACGATGGAAGGCGACGGAGAGCCTACTCGGCGTTGTCTTACTTGATCTTTGTCTTTCGTATATTTGTACGTGCCTTGCCCGTTTTTCTAGTGGTTCTAGTGACCGGTCATACCAAAAATGTTGTTTTCTTTTCGGTTATTTTCCTTTTCCCGATGTTTTCTTTTTTGTTGAACTTGCTCTCTTTATGTTGGTGAATGTTCTGCCCGTATTGCTCCAGTTACTGTATTATGCTCATATTTTTAAAAAGTAACGAGTAATTACAGTAATTTGTTACCAATATTTTGTAACGAAATGACATTATAAATTACTTCCGAAAAAAAGTAACGTGGCAATTACAAAATTACTTAAAAAAGTAACGGATTACGAGTAATCCGTTACTTGTAACGGATTACTTCCTAAGTTATGTATACAGTACAAGGTGAGCTACCGAGGAGGAGGAATAAAAAAAACGTATGAAACAATTAAGCAGAGAGTGATGATGCTGCGACGACAAGAAAGACTGAGTAACCCATGATTCAGCTTTCGGGGACGATATGCCAACATTATATAAGCATATGAGAGTGAACAAATCTAGCAGCGCCATTTTGAATACTACTTTTTCGATGCAGTCGCCATAAAAACCTCCGAGAACGTTTCCAGGCGGGTATCCACAACACCATTGCACCTTAGAAGCAGTGCATAAATCCGCACTGAAGCGGCTTGTTGAAAATTACAGTTCATGTTGGAGAAGATAAAAACAAATTGTGTATGACCGTTCAAAAAGAAAAGAATTTTTTAGCTTGCGCTGATGACAAGAAACGCCGAGTAATTTGTTTTCAAAGCTATTAAGCAGGTAACTACACTCTAAAAAAAAGAAACAAATCCCGTGAATCTATATTATGCCGAACAACGCATGGATAGCCAATCACCGTAACTCACGGAGGCAGCTCAGTGAATTACGATGCCGAAACATGATTAGACCAAAAAACGCAGTCTGAGTTGTGACATTAAGCAATGCAAGCGTGACGTTTTGCATTGCTTAATGTCACAGCTCGGGGTATTTTTTTTTTTTTTTTTCATGTTTCGGCATCGACATTGGCTGAGCTTCCTCCGTCAGTTATGGTGTTTGGCTTTCCAATTGTTGTGAGGGAAAGTAGACGCACGGGCTTTTTAGAGGGTACTGTTATTTTTTAAATCTTTTTTGTTTATCTTTTTTTTTTTTTTTTTGTGATATGCGCTGAAAAAAGACAGTTTTCACCACGGTTGTGTTGTTATTGCTCATGATAGCCAAAAGGTGTCACTCTGCAGCACGATATTTTTTTTATGTGATAGTTCCCAAGAAACGCCAATTTCTGCGTCGTTCTAACGTCTTTTTTATCTGTATAAGCTACCAGAACTTCGTTATAAAATTGCAATTTTGATACAGACATTTCGATATATTTTCCTTTGTCATGGCAAATAAAACACGTGATTACTTTTAAAGAGCGCTACTGTTTTATTTGTCATATTGATTGCGTGTATCACACATAATATTCACATCAATTTTCAATTCTGTTGCGCAGCACAAAACAAGTTTGGCTAAACAATGTCAGCGAAAGTGCGAGAACTGCATCACTGCAGTGCATCATGTCAGCTGACAGTCAAAACACGAAGTAGCAGAAGTTCTACGATACAGTAACAGAGATGACATAAAACCGCGGCCCTGAAGTGTGGGACATAGGAAGCCGCGCCTTGACACAAGGAGCAGTTCGGTGTTTGTCCAGCGCTTGTGACGCACTTCCGGACAACCCAACGAGCAGGTCCTGACCTTCGTTGCATATTTCAAGAGCAGAACGAAAGAACGAACGCCTTCCAGGGACCATTAGCCAAACCGCGGGACCACATCACGTGTGCGTGTGGAAGCTTGGGGGGGGGGGGGGGGGGGGGGGGGAGGGGGGGGGGGGGATTCGAAGGAGCTTTTTCGGGGACATGCGGCGACCATGCCGGCACCTCGACAAGCCCTCATGTTATTTTTATTTCCCTTTGAAGGACGATACGCGAAGGATGCAACGAGAAGGGATCGGATCAAAAGCGGTGTGCCCAAGCGAGAAGGACGTTTTGAGAATGGTCCTTTTAAGAAGGTTCAAATGAGAAGATCGAAACGAGATCAAGCACAAAAAATAACCACCATCCCAAAAGAGTACCACTCCTTAACTTACTCAAATAATTTTCAAATGCGAATCACCTGATACTATTGCACCCTCATTGATTGATCATGAACACGCAAATATAAAGATCCGTTTGTTTTGGTCGTGCATTCAAATGTGATACTGGGAAAGCGAATCAAATATAATTCGAACTGCTTTGAAATTTCATATCTCGAGACATTGAAAGTAAAGTAAAGGTTCTACCCGCTGCTTCCGTGTATATATGTCTTATCCCAGTTATCCAAATATAGCTGATATTTCTTTTTCTTAGGCTAAAGTTTGATATTCTCCCGCTCTTTTGTTTCCAAGCGCGCAAAGAGGTGCATACTCCATCTCAATGCTTCACAATTCCGGCCATAGTTTCATTTAATGTCGGGAGCCAACAGTTCAATTCAACAATAATGACAAGCTTAATAAATAATAACAAAGTGGGGTTGAAGAAACAAACTGCAAAGGCCAGAGTCCGTCGGGCTCCCTGCGAGCAGCGGAGACGACTCCTGGGGGCTCAATTTCCCCGCTGGAGTCCTGAGAAATCCCCAGTCATCCCTAAACAAGTCCGAGATATCCCCGAGTGCGCCTCCAGTGGAGGGGAACGCGGGCATGCATAATGACGTTTAGAATCGCGTGATTCGCTTTCGCGAATGATAGTTATGCGCTGCTGCATTTCTCGACTTTATTCGTAACATATATTGAATGCTTGCTCTAAAAGCAATATATTAAAGCGATTAATAGCATGCCAAACACAACATCTTCATGCGCGCGTTT